TTAATATATTAGAACTTATAATATATTAACAAATCATAAATAACCTTTTCTCAAAAGTCCATCCTATGAAATTATCTTGGTGATATGCAACCCAAATGGACCATGCTACTCTCGGGTCAAGTACATACCAACTATAGTTATGGGCTTAGACACCTAATCCAATAGCCTCCCACTTGGATAAGTCTAATAACTATTATTTAAAGTACGACCCCACAACCCGACTAGCAATTGTAGCTCTTAAAAGCTGTTGTCGAACTCTAACCTAGTCAATGACGCGTCCATTAGATAAGGGATCATATATTCCTCCATTCTATATATCATATAGACTAAGAAATGGATTATAATGATTGTCTCTGTCCATCTGTTGTTTCCCAATTTCCGATTTATGACAACTGACTAATTGAACAAATCAAATCAATCTAGGCTTGACCAAGCACTTAGGGGTGTCATCACTAAATCATTGAGGGGCCCACATATATCGCTTTTAACCACATAGGATAAAAGGAACGGATAAACTTCGACCCAAATGTTTGCTTGCACTTACTCATCAAATTACACACAATGATACGTTTTATAACACCAAGTTACTGGTGCGTTTACATATGTAAATGTGCAACCGAATTGTAACTACAACTCACATGTCTCCATTTCAAGAATATAAGATATTATCATCTCACAATCACTCCTGATAAAATCCATGAAGTGATTCAGATGATAGTTGATTGAATCCAATACTCGAATCTTATTCCAGTAGTACTTGTAGTATCACGCTCGTGGGCCTCAAAGGCAGCGATCTCTTTAGCAGTGGCAGTGTTGATGTTGATTTCCTTCAGCTTCTCATCAAGGACATACCCGTTGTACTCGTAACAAGTGACCATTTGAATGTTGTAGATCTAATCATTGAAATTGGACCCGTTAAAGATCACTCTCCCACACAAGTTCATGAGTGAGAACGAGCCAGAGGAACCAGAAGCGTTGTTGTTCGCATTAGACATTTGAAATAGAAAAGAGACAAGTTTGATTAGAAATGAATCCCTAATTAAACACCCAAATGAGAAATTAGGGCTAGGATCCAACAACATTATTTACAAATTAGAAGTGGGATGTCGTAATCTAACATACAAATAATTTGAAGGTAAGTGAATGACGCTTCACTAATTTTCCACCATGAAAAATGAAAAGGAGATTAAGTTTTAAATGTATTGAAAACTCCTAGATCTTTTGAGATTCATTGAAATTTTCAATGGCATGTTTAAATCTCGATATTCCCCTCGTTTGTGATTGGGATGCCAAGGATCAAAAAATGCCCCCAATATTACAGTCACCTAATCGATGTGTTGGTTAGCCACACACGTGATGCGTTTTGAGCAAAACATCATTCCTATGGTGTACATGCAAACCCTAATAGCTTTTGGATCTAGTTTGTCTAATGAACATGCAATTGAATATCCAAAGCTATAAACCCTAGATCTAGCATATGATAATCAATATTAATATATGAATTAGGTTTAGATCGTACCTTGATTGTTATATAGCAATAACAATCTCAAATCCTCCTTGTAATGGCTTTAGAAAGCTTAGAGTCACAAGTGTCACTCCTCTAATGGCTCACAAACACCAAGAGCAAGAGGATGAATAATGATAAGAGAGGAGGCACCCAAAAACGTGTGGAAACCCTAAGGAAACTCTTGGCCACGTTTTTGGTGCTCTATGGATCCTTAAATAGTGAGGCTATTAGGGTTATCTAACAAGGAAACCCTAATTTAACTGCTTAGGCCCTAAGCAACCCAAGGACTCCCTTCTTAGATGCCTTGTACGATTTCTAATGGGTTTCCCCGTAGAATTCGTCCATCCCTCTAATATGGAGTCATTAGCCCAATATTCAACTATCATACAATTGACAGTTCTAGTCCCTTAAGTTTAATTAATCTCTTTTAGCCACAAAATTAATTCTTAATTAATTATTGACTAATATTAATTAAACAATATGATTTCTCCTTTAATATATTATTCTCATAATATATTAATAAATCATAATTAATCATCTCTCTCCATAATTCATCCTATCAAGTTGCTTTGGTGAAAGCAACCCAAAAGGACCATGCACCATCGGGTCAAGTACATACCAAAATAGTTATGGACTTAGACACTAATCCAACAGCTCGATCGATCTATGACAAACATCGAGTCACCCTTTTCCACCTTTTCTTAGAGCCCAATTAGTGTGTTGGTTAACCACACACGCTCCACTAACGTCTTAGCAAGTGTACAAAGTGTAATTTCTTGGAATTGCATCAAATTCACTTTTGCCTAAAGTAACTAAGATTGAAATTTTTTTAAAAACATTTAGTTACTTTATAATTCATTATACTTTTAACGAGGAAAGGGTTTTCCCTATCCTACATGTTCGGCTAACGACCATCCACCAATCAAGAAAGCGGTGGGTGAGAGTGGGCACCCATTAAATGGTCATTTCATAGGCCATAACCTTATCCCCCCCCCCCCCCGCCCTTATAGACCGGGTTCGTGAATGAGGTCTACTAACGGTAAGACTAGCATTTAGTTATACATATATAATAATAATTATTATCATATTATAATAGTATAGGGTGAATTTTAATCTTGTAAAATTCTAGGGTTTTAATAATTTCAAATTAAACTTTTAATTAAAAAAAAAAAATTCTAGAACTTGAGGGCAAGTTTTGAACTTTTCAAAACACATAGGATCAAATAGCAAATAATATAAATTAAACATTTAATTTAATGATTATCAAAATTTGACATCTTCCATTTTATTCACAAGATAATTCATCAAATAATTCAAATAATCAAATTTTATCATATAAGGAATTTATTATTCAATTAATTGATAATTATCTTTTGTTTTGGTAAGGATAATCACATAATAATAACAAAATTCGGATTTCATTAGTCAAAAACAGTTTTGGTAATTATCCTTCAGCAAAACAACAATAAATCCTGAGTTTCCCTCTGTCTGACTCCCCGACTCGCCGAGTCACTCACTGGACTCGCCGAGTTGGGCCGATTCACCGAGTCCAGCAAGTGACCCGCCGATTCAGGTCGAGCAGAGGGCAGAAAAACAATTTTCAGCAAGATGAACATACAAGGTTGATTACAATAGAAACCAATCAATGCCATGAAACCACTGATGGTATTTACACAAAAGAACATCCTATGTACTCATGAAAACCCTAAAACTTGGATCTAGGTTTCTCTATTGTACATGCAATTCATCCAAGACTTATGAACCCTAGATCTAGCATACATATTTCAAAATTATCATATAAGATTAGATCTAGATGATTACCTCTTCAAGAATGGCTTGAATCTTCTTCTCTTGGAGCTTAGAGTCACAAATATCACTCCTCTAATGACTTACAAACACCACAAGCAAGATGATGATATTGGAGAAAGGGGAAGAGGCATAATTTCGGATATGAACTCTTATAGGAATATTCTTGATAAGTGTGTACAACCATGCATTCTCCTTCCCACGAACAACAATAGAACCTGAAAACATAAACAACTGGGTAAGCATAAAGTTTAGTAAGCTTCCCCCAAAATACCCGATACAACAAACGTATTATCATGCATAACGAACCCACACTCATCAGACTGGAATACCTTGTCTCAATCATTCATCGGACTAGAATGCCAACATGCAACATGTCCAATCAGTCATCGGACTGGAATACCTAGGGTTTGTTGGCATGTCGCCTTAACCCACCCACTATTCTCGAGTATCCGTTTTTATAACTTATAGTCGGCCCGCACCAGGTATCTTAGCCTACAACATATAGCAGGACCATCAACTTATCAAACCACCATATGGCTATCCCACATAAGATATCATGAGAAAAACCTATAATATCATTCATAAGTACTGAATGAATACAAAAACAAAAATGACTTATTTTGCAACAAAAAACTATTAAGAACTTAATGTGTACAAAAATATTAATGACTAAATGTGTACAAAGTGAGAAATATATTACCTTATTAAGTTATTTTTACCGGCTAACCTGAGTAGTTGGTCATAAGGACTAAATGTGTACAGTTTAACAAGTTACAGGGGTAAATGTAGACGGAAAAAAAACTCAGTGACTAAATATGTACAAATAAAAAAATATATTACCCTTTTAGGTCATTATCCCAATAATCAATCATAAAATTTATATGGTCAATTTACCGATACACTAACACCCCGTTCTCGAGTTTATCAAAAGAAAAGAAAAGAAGAGAAAAGAAAGTCACAATAGAATAGAATAGAAAGGAAAGGAAAACAAAATTTTATTTTGTGTTCCCGAGTTGGAGAGAAGTGGAAGAAAAATTAATCATTTTCTTCTTTCTTTCTAAATCTTCCCAAATCGGAAGGAAAGATAGGAGGGAAAGTGATCATTTCATTTCTGTCCACTTTCTTCCTTTAATGAAACTCGAAAATACCAATTGTTTTCAATTTTTTCTCATTTCCACCCGTTTCCTTTCATTTCTCTCGTTGGTGTAAACTATTTCAAACTCGGGTTTTTACTAGTTTAATTATGATGTTTGATATCAATAATTGTTATTATTATATTCTTAAAAGTTAAAACAACGGTGGGTCTTTATCTTAGAACAGGATAAGATTCAAACAGCCGAGCACACAAGTGGCGCCAATAATCCTTACCTTTTCCCCAAATCCGTCAGAGTCGTCCCGTTCAGAACCCTAATTTCAACCGCCACAGCCACAAGTTCAAAACCCATCCCCTTCCTTTACCAACCCATCGTTATCTGATACTACTACAAGTCATGTTGATTGTTGATGCATATTTTCATCTTATCCGCGATTAAAATCTCTTATTTATATCTTCTGCAATCATCCTCCCAATATAGAATTGAATAATATGAATACACACTTGAATCAACAGAGGACACGTTGTACCTCGTCGTGACCGCCACTCTACTCTTATCTTCATCATCCTATCGTCCTCTTACCAACGTTTATGGCCACGTACAGTCAATTCCATTCAATTTAATCCATCATTAGTCTCCTACCAGCTTGTGTGCTTTCACACTTTTCAACTTTTTTTTTAATTTGAATTTGAATTTTCGCGTAGGACTTCTGAAAGCTGCTTAGAGAGTCATTTTTCATTCCAGGAGTCCGGAGATCTCATCAATTCTCCAGCTCTTTTTTTTGTGTATATTGCAAGTTTTCTATATTGGATTTATCGTGGACCACGGTTTCATCTTCCTGACGATCTGGGGAGTTATTTACTTCACCAATCGCCACGAGATGAGATTCTAGGTTCTAGGTCAGCTATCCATGATTAATTGCTGTGCATTCGATATCATTTCTGTCAGTTGCGACAGACTTCGATTTAGAAAAGCTTCAAATCTGGGTTATTTGGGCTGTTAATAGAACACGTATCAGTATAAAGTATTGTGCTTACAGGATGGATCATATAAGTAATGAGGCCAATGTTGATGCGTTCTCAATCGGACCTTCAACAACCATTGGCCGGACTATTGCTTTCAAAGTTCTATTCTTCAAGTCAATCTCACACTTGAGGCATCATATTTCTCATCTGCTTCTTCGTTACTTTCGTTGCATCAGGGCATATGTTTCTTCCACCGTTATACCTGTGATCTCATGGTTCCATCCACGCAACCCGCAAGGGATACTACTGATGGTTACACTAATGGCATTCTTGCTTAAGCGGTGCACTAATGTCAAAACAAGGGCTGAGATCGCATACAGGAGGAAATTCTGGAGGAACATGATGAGGGCTGCAGTAACATATGAAGAATGGGCTCATGCTGCTAAGATGTTGGATAAAGAAACTCCAAGAACGAATGAGTGCAATCTTTACGATGAAGAACTTGTGAAGAACAAACTTCAAGAACTCAAGCACCGTCGTGAAGAAGGTTGTCTTAGAGATATTGTATTTTACATGCGAGCTGACCTTGTCAGAAATCTTGGTAACATGTGCAATCCAGAGCTTCACAAGTGTAGACATCAAGTTCCAAAGCTTATAAAAGAATACATCGATGAAGTCTCGACACAATTGAGAATGGTTTGTGATTCTGATTGTGAGGAGATTCTTTTGGAGGAGAAACTTGCTTTCATGCATGAAACACGTCATGCTTTTGGAAGAACAGCTTTGCTTCTAAGTGGAGGTGCTTCTCTTGGATCTTTTCATGTTGGTGTAGTGAAAACATTAGTAGAACACAAGCTTTTACCCAGAATAATTGCAGGGTCTAGTGTTGGATCCCTTATATGTGCTGTTGTTGCCACCAGGTCATGGCCAGAGCTTCAGAGTTTCTTTGAAGATTCACTGCATTCGTTGCAGTTTTTGGACCAAATGGGTGGAATTTTTAATATTTTTAAAAGGGTTATGACATTGGGAGCAGTTCATGACATTAGACGATTACAAGTTCTATTAAGAAACTTGACAAATAATCTTACATTTCAAGAAGCTTATGACATGACAGGTCGTGTTCTTGGAATAACAGTATGTTCTCCAAGAAAACATGAACCTCCAAGATGTCTTAACTACCTGACTTCACCTCATGTAGTTATATGGAGTGCAGTTACTGCGTCTTGTGCTTTTCCTGGTCTCTTTGAAGCTCAAGAACTCATGGCAAAAGATAGAAGTGGAGAAATTGTTCCTTATCACCCCCCATTTCATTGGGGCCCTGAAGAAGCTAATGGCAGTACTACTCGCAGATGGAGAGATGGTAGCTTGGAGATGGATTTACCCATGATCCAGTTAAAAGAACTCTTCAATGTAAATCATTTCATTGTTAGTCAAGCGAATCCTCATATTTCTCCCCTGTTGAGACTGAAAGAATGTGTGCGAGCTTATGGAGGCAACTTTGCTGCAAAGGTATGTTCATGTCATCAATCTGTCACTTCAAATACAGCTTACAGTTCTAACAGTTTAATTAACCCCCTGCAGCTTGCTCATCTAGTCGAAATGGAGGTGAAATACAGATGCAACCAAGTCTTGGAACTTGGTTTCCCTTTAGGAGGACTTGCAAAGCTGTTTGCTCAAGAATGGGAGGGTGACGTCACCATTGTTATGCCTGCCACCTTAGCTCAGGTACATATTTGATATCGATAAAAAGTTTACATTTTGATACCTTAGACTTGTGGGCTTTTTCCGTTTGATACCTTACATTGTTTCTCTTTTACTTGATCCTGACAAAAAACCCTTTACCTATTTGTCCTTAACCCATCCAGTACTCAAAGATCATACAAAACCTTTCTCACTTGGAGCTTCAGAAAGCTGCAAACCAAGGAAGAAGATGCACATGGGAGAAGCTTTCAGCCATTAAAGCCAATTGTGGTATCGAGCTTGTTCTTGATGAATGTGTTGCAATTCTAAACCACATGCGTAGACTTAAAAGAAGTGCAGAAAGAGCAGCTTCAGCTTCAGTCTCTCATCCCCGGTTTAATGCATCAAAAAGAATCCCTTCATGGAGTTGCATGGCGCGTGAGAACTCAACAGGGTCACTAGAAGACCTTGCAGACATTGTTTCCCCTCTCCCTCATGGTGGCAGGAACTGGCGGCACCATGACGGAAGTGACAGCGAATCAGAGACTGCAGAGTTGAATACTTGGACAAGATCCGGTGGACCCTTGATGAGGACTGCTTCAGCTGATCAGTTTGTTGATTTTGTCCAGAACTTGGATTTTGATTCCAGAGTGAAGAACTTGAGGGTGATTCCACCGGAATTGGAATCGGATCAGAGGGATATGATTATGAATAACAGAGTTCATAGAAGCATCATGGTGGCTGAAGGTGATCTTTTGCAGCCGGAGATGATGTGTAATGGGATTGTGTTTAATGTTGTGAAGAAAGGGGAGTTGACACCATCGAATAGGAGTCATCATGATTCTGAAAATAATAACTTACTTTCTGACTCGGTTGCTGAGTGTGTGCAAATGCAACCTGATTCTCCAGAGAAGGAGATGATGGATGGTAGCTCTGCTTCTGAATGTGGTGATAATGAATCTGATATCTGTAATGAGCCTGTTAAAGACTGTTAACGCTTGTAGTTTTATTAAATTTAGTGGCTATGCAATTGCTAATTTGCTTAATTTCTACATCACTTTAACTCTTTCCATCTGCCTTAATTTTTAAATAGAAATGAATCTGGCATTTGGCATAAGAGTGACCACCTGATTTGTCTAGTTTTGCAATTTGATTCGACACTCTGATCATGTCTTCGTCTAGATGGCCTCATTTAGTTCATACAACTTAATTCTATTTAATCTATAACATATAAGAGCACAAAATGTACAATCAATATGAGGATTTGCATCCATATTGAACCTTAATTTGCACTCAAACTCGCACAATGGAACACCGTTTCAACATTTGATTTGGGTAGTTAATATGGACCATAATTTGCACTTGAACTCGCACAATGGAACCCCTTTTCAACATTCAAGTTGGGTAATTAATGTGAGGATTTTGCTTCTACTCTCAAAGACGACGCATAAAGGGTGGTTAACGTGCGAAAGAAATGGAGTGTTGTCCCAATTTCATAAAAACAAAGGTGATGTCTAAAGTTGTGACAACTTTATAAGTATTATTGTATTAAGTTATTTAGTCATATAAGTATTATTATTGACCCTAGTCTCTAACAGTAATTTATTATTCCGCACTTGAACAAGTAAAATTTGCTTATCTAAACATCAAAACCAGTTATTATAATTTTGGATTCTACAAAACTCATTTCCAAATGCACCGTTGACCATCTCCTTCAAGAACATGTCATTTAACAGAGTTAACAAATAACAACTGTGTGTTTGTCATTTATTTCAAAATAGTATTATATGGTTTTACTAATTTTTAATCGAAGAGAAGAGTACTCATTTATTAAAAAAAAAAAAATTAAAAATAATACATAAAGAGATAAGTTCCAAAGTATCCATCATTCTCAGCAATAATCAGTCGGAACCATGTGCGGAACGCGGATTATGAGAGAGGCCACATCGAGCGCCTAACTATGGACCCCACGAGCCAACTCACATCTCATCATTTAACAAATCTTAACCGTCGGATCAAACCAGGTCACGTCATCTCATCCGTCCCTTTCCTCATTATCATCAATCGAGTGGGTACCGCGCACCATGCCATCACTTCCATGAATTTAATTTAGATTTTTAGAGACTCAGACACACGGTAAATTATGAGACGCGTTTGCCTGTTGTTGATTGTTCAACCTTGACTATTGGTTCGGTTAGTTCGGGTTCGAACCTCAGGCTCGGATGTACCCGAACCTCCGGATGCATTTGCTATAAATACCACCAAGCTTCGATCAGACTGCTACGAAATTGTCTGGATCGTAGAGTTTTACTTTCAGATATTTTTGCTCCAAATCTTAAAGGTATAATCGCTGTTACTTTGACTCGCTCGAATTTGAATCTTTCATTATATATTTGAGTCTATTCAAATTAAAACTAATTTGGAAATTGTTCCAAGGTTCCATAGTCAAAGGACTTTGATCTTCGATCATCAAGGTGGCCTTAATTCTATATGCTTGACTTTTAAGTAGAATCATGGATTATGACCTAAAATTTTGATCACAGAATGTGAGATCTACTTTGACTTTACAGTTTTTGCCACGAAAATGATTTTAAAGTTGATTTAGACTATTTGGTTGACGGTTGACCAATTGACTTGGAAAATTATCGGATTTTGATCTTCGTTCATAAAGTTTATTCAAATGTCTTCTGTTTCGTTCATAAAGTTTATTCAGATGTCTTCTGTTTGATATCAAGCTGACTTATCTTTGTAATGATCGATTGATCAATACCTGTGATTATTTATTTACTTTTTTTTTTTCTTGAAACCCATCATTAAATGATTTGGACTATTTGGTTGACTGATTGACATGGAAAATCGTCGGATTTTGGTCTTCGATTGTTGAAATTTGTACTAGTAATGATGTTACGTTAAGCGATTTGTTACAACTTTACTGTGTATGAAATCTAATTTCGTTTCGGTTGACTGATTGACCCGGTTTATTCAACTTATGCAATTTTCATTTACCAGGTAACTTCCTATATATTCGTGAAATCGTTGTGGGTGAAAAAACCTTCATTGGAAAGTAGAAATGGCATTGGTTTCACAACGACGATCTACACTTAACCCAGATGCGCCATTGTTCGTCCCTGCTGCTGTTCGTCAGGTGGAGGATTTCTCCCCAGAATGGTGGCAACTGGTGACGACTTCAACTTGGTTTCATGACTACTGGCTCAGCCAACAGCAGGGTGAAGATGGTTTCTTTGGAAACACATACACACCAGATGCTTACGATAGCAGTGATATTGCTGATATGCTTCCTGATTCCATTGACACCGATGAAGACATATTATCCATGGAAGCACAATACGAGCAGTTCCTCCTTTCTTTTGAAATGGAAACAGCAAACGCATTTTCCCCAAATGCTTACAAGCAAATGCCCATAACTAGTAAGTATGGATGCATACACACACTTAGACAATTATCATGCAGATAATGTCACTACTTTTGGTTCTAACTTCTAACCTGTGTTTATAATTAGGTTTGGAAGCAGAAGCCAAGTATCCAAGAAAAGGAAGTGAAGTCGCTTAGGCCAACAATCACAGTGAATGTAATTAGTTTTCCAGGTTTCTCTGGCCTTGCTTAATTAATTAGCTTTTTTCAGTTCTGCATGTATACAAATATATATTCACAAAAACTGTAGTAGGTAGTTGTCTTGTATGTTTATTGTAAGTTTCTGTATAGAGCAAGGTTTTAATTGTCTTTGTATCTCTACCACCTAGCCTTGTTCATACTCATATATGCTGTTTCAACTAGCCAGGGAAACTAAATGGAGAAGAAGTAATTCAAGAATCTGTTTTCTCCCTTTTTTTGGTCATGTAAGTGGTTTGGTTTCAGTTGGTTTAATTTCTATGCATATAAAGATTCCTAAGTCATAAGTTTTTCTTCAAATTAGTAAAATTATAAAAATTAACTAAAGTGGAAATTTGTCAACACTTGTCCAAGGTGTATTTGAGATTCATAAAACACCCTGAATCGGTTTATTTGAAAATGTTAACCTACAATTCTAACTATATGATTAATGGATAAAAAAAATTGGGAGAATTTGATATATGTTATTTTTAAATATTAAAATATCATATTTGTCAAACTTAATATTTTAATATCATATTTATCCTTTATAAACCTTTAAAATATTATATTTGCCTAAATCATTTTTAACAATGTTTTTAATAGTTTATAATCATTTTTATATCTTAGAGCTATTATAATAATTTTAAAATTTTAACCATATTATCATATGTCTATAATCATGGAAAATCTACTTTTAAATTGTTGGAATGTTGCTCTTTTGACATACAAAATGTTTCTTCTTCAGCCTTCTTCATTTAATGTATGTATTGATTGCTTAGTTTTTGTTGTTAAATACTTTCATTTTGTACATAGATGATATTTTTTATATTAACATTGATATTTTAATGTTTAAAAAGAGTATATATGATATTTTGATATTTAAAGATATTGTATGATATTTTGATGTTTAAGAAGAGTATATATGATATTTTAAAATTTTATGAAGGGTTACCGATAAAGACATTATAGCAATAACTATTTACAATTTTGGAAATATATCAAATAGATGTGAAAATTGTATTCTTAAATGGTGAATTAGATGAATAAATTTAAATGAATGAAAAGGCTCCAAAACAATGAAATTGGAAGTTTGATAATACATTTTTATAAGATGAATTTAGAATAAATAAGCGTGATAAATGTGTTTATGCCAAGCAGTTGTACAAGAATGCCTATATTATCATATGTTTATACACATGGACGAATGCTTATTATGAGAATTTCGTTAGATATCATCAACCGAACCAAAAAAATGTTACAATCCTCTTTTAATATTAAGGATATAGGAGTTACATATGCTTATATATGAACGGCATGCTTATTATGGGAATTCTGTTAACTGTCATCAACCAAACAAGAAAATGTTACAATCCTCTTTTGATATGGATATGAAAGTAGCTGGTGTAATTGTTGGTGTAAAATTTAGTAGAACCTTTAAGGTTATACTCTTACATAATCCCATCATATATGAAAAGTTTGGACAAATGACAAACTGGTTGTTACCCCATTTGATCATTCTTGTTATCTTAAGAAAAAATTAGGTGATAATGTAGCTCAACTAGAGTATACTCAAGTTATTGGAAGTTTGATGTATATAAAAAACTTCACAATACCGTGTTTGGCATATAGTTTGAGCAGATTCAGTTGATAGTCTCACAATCTCGAGAAAGATCATTGGTATGCTTTAGTTAGGGTTCTTAAACACTTGAAACATACAATGAACTATGGGTTGCATTGTCATTACACAAAATACCCTCGTGTGATGGAAGGATATTGTTATGCAAACTAGATTTCAAACACTTCTGAAAGTAAGCCTATTAGTGGCTATTTATTCATACTTAATGGAGTTGTTTCTTGGAAATCATTTACGCAAGTTATGAATACCCATTCTACTATGGAAGCAAAATTTGTAGCTATAAACAAAGTTGTTGAAGAAATTTGGTAGCTTAAAAGCTTCTTATAAGGTATTCCTATATGGCCTAAGCTTGTCCCTCCTGTTTGGATTCACATGGATTCACAGTGATTGTGTGACTACTCTAACAAGAGCACAAATCACAATGACAAGTCTAGAGATATCAAGGGTAAACATAAAACAACAAGAGACTTACTAAAAATGGAATTATTTATATATAGTCGGAAGAAAATATAGTTTATCTTTTGACAAAATCCCTCAATAAAGAGCAAGTTATCTTCACAACATAGAAAAATGAGCTTTAAAGTAAACACAACAATCACCATGCGGTGGAAACAATGCAACGTTGGCAATCCATGGTCTAGGTTCACTAGGCAAATGAGTTAGGGAAGAATCGAAGCAACACAAACACACATGTATGCTTACTCAAAGGATATTTAATAGTGTGTTTTATGTTGATAATTCAGGGATGAATGTTTATTCTTAATAATGTAAGTAGTTTTTGTAATGGAATACTACAAAATATTCTTTATTGACATTATCTATGTGAGGTCACATTTTTTAAAGTTGATATAGCTAAGTTCTCTAACACAATGGTAAGAATGGACTTATATTTAGATATGATGTGTGGTAGTTTTTGCCTCGCCTTAATACAAAAAGTGGTTGGTTCGAGACTTTAGTTCACTGCCCACAAATTAGATCCAATTAGTATTCACTATGAAATATTCAAGTTTATACATCTTTTCAAATAAATATCATAGTTTAAATATCAAAATTATCTTAATTTTTTTCTTGTTCAAATTTGGGATATTATTTTGTTTGAATAGAAAATATGGGTTATTGTGGTAACTTTGTCCCATATAGGAAGGAAAGAACTTTTAGTGGCTAATAAGCTCATCAATAAACTATATAAAATTTGATTAGGTAAGAGACAAAAGCATTTAAGTTGAGACGGTGGTGTTAGGTTAGCCAACTAGGCATCCATTAGGCATGGGTTAATACACATTTAATGGAAAATGATAGAACCTTGAGCCTTAGGCTCTTCTTAAAACTGAAATTAATTTTGTTAGTTAATGAAACAAATGTTAATTAGATTAGTAGATGTGGTGTCACATTTGTTACGGTCCATGTAGGCATCACATCACACTTGCCACATTTTAGCCAAATTTTGTTATTTGCTAAACATAGGTTGTACACTTGTCATGCTGCTTTTTTTTAATATACAAAATAAATATTTCAAACATAGCCTTTTTTAAAAAACTAAAATTCTATAAACTTAAAATAAAAACATAAATTAAAAAATACAACAATCACACCCAAAAACAAATTAGAATTTAAAATAAAAAACATAGAAACTACAATTACCAAACCTAGATAGATCTAAAAGACATCTTCATCGGAAAATTGACCTTCCAAATCGTCGACCGGTTCCGCGTTAAGATCAATGTGATCGACGTTACAAATATGTTCCGTCAAGTCCCTACGAAGAACATGATGCATCTCAACATCATAAACTATTTCTCTCCTCAACATGTATTTCGCGCTTCCAACCTCAAAAGCTTGTATCAGTGGAACGGTCTCGTTTTCGTTATACTCACATGTTGCATTTCCTTCGTCTTCGAGAATCATATTATGCAATATGATACAAATATACATCACCACACTCATTTTCTTCGCCTCCATATAAGGCGCGGGATATTTAAGAACATGCTAACGTTTTTTCAAAGCTCCAAATGCTCTTTCAACATCCTTTCTCGCCTTCTCTTGAACTCTTTTAAACTTCAATCTTTTGTGATCATTTGGACAGGACAATGACTTCACAAAACAAGCCGCCTCACGAAATCTTTGCATTATCTTGTCAGTCTTCGCCTCTTGAATGACCTCTATGGTCGTTTCAAGCAAGGCATTAAACATGCGTGATGAAGATGACAAATACGACATTTTGAGAGAACGTATATGAGTTGTAAATTGATTTTTGATGAGTTAAAATGGTTAAGGGTTGTAGTATTTATAGGAGCTCTTTTTTAAAAAAAAAATAGAAGTAGTCGTTGCCGGCCACCCCATTGATCCACTCAACATAGTCAAACTCGGTATTTACTCACCGAGATACCAAGCTGAGGGGTCGCCCGGTGTGCGCCGAACTCGCTGAGCTCCTCACCAAGTCCAGACCATCCAGCCTTAGGATTTTAACTAATTGCATTTAATTTTGGTTTTGACAGGTATAGTTAATTTATAACTATTATATTGAAAGCCAATGTAAACCCGATCAATTGATAGATTTGGGGGTTGTAATTTGACAACTAATAACTATCGTATTGAAGCCTATATAAAGTCGACCAATCGATGGATTTGAAGATTTGAATGTTGTTCATGAGACACTGCATTTTCTTTTCTTCGTTTTTTGCAATCATGAGAGCACAGACCATTGACAAATTTAAGATTCACTTGAATTCAATTGTTATACTTATATCCTCAAGAAAGATTTCCCACACAATTTCTATTAAGATTTCCCAGACAATTTCTATCTTAACACACTACTACGCCAGGCCTAAATCTATATATTTTCTTGTTTGTAGCTCTCGAGACTCAAATACGTTTACTCATATATACATTTAATTCTGTAAATATATTTCGCTGTTTGTTTCTGTTTTTTTTTTTTTTTTTTCATTAATTGTGCACATTCCATCTAACAAGAATATCATCAACCGAGTCTACGAGAACAAATGAGATGTACAACAGCTATGAAAAAAAAAAAAAAAACTGTTCAGCACTGAGATATCAAACAATCAATTTCATTAGTAACATACGCTAAATCTGCTCATATATGGATAGAGACAACTCACATACTTGTCCAGAAAATTGCAAGGCAACAATGAACACTTCCAGTGTTACCTAAAGAACAAGCATTTACATAAGCATTAAGCAGAAAGCAAAAGATGAAAGATCAAAGTAGGACATCTTCATTTCGAGGCTCGACTTTATTTTGATTGGCAACAGCCTCCGAGATAGCCTTTGGCAGCAAAAAACCAGGCCTTTCAAGAAACCGTGCACGATCAAGTACCAAAGGCTCACGAGTCGTTATCTCTATCCCATCAAAAGTCCACAAACTCAAACTTGCTTCCCCTTTCAACCCCAATGACAACCAACCAAGCCCTGCAGCCGCTAAATCAACACTGTTCACATCCCAACTTGTCCCCGACACCTTCACTTCCCTCGCTTCCCACTTCCCTAATTCACACACGCGATCTGCACCTATAGGCGGCTGCAAATAACAAAAATCAGGGACCTAAAATGTATTTTACTCAAAAACCTAAATATGCAATCCTATTCCTACTACCTGCAATCTAACACCAGCATGCTTGTTCCAAGTCTCCTCAGCATTTTCAATCTTACCAAGGTGTAGCGAAACATTTGGCGACGCCCAAACCGTCACATAAATCGTCTGCACCGATGCATGATTTAGGTCTAGTCTCATCAAACCACCAACATGTATTGCCTGACCTTGCTGCAAAAAAACATCTTTCATCAGAAACCATAACATTCTATGCACTAGTTGGACCAGATCCAACTAGTGCATAGACAGTCGTCTGATCTGGTTCTAGAACCAGATCGGACGACAACAAGTGCATAAGACAATATGCATACTTGCCTTAATTCTATACGTTCGCGGACGTAATTCCTTGCGTATTTCAACCATTTTTTGCTCCTCTCGATTCAATCTCATGGACATTAAATACGGATGCAAGAGACCCGGTGTGTCATACATTTTCGCTTTTGCCGATAATATCCCTCCGATCCTTAAAATCCCAAGTGTGGTCCCGGGAACCGCGGCTTCGGTAAGTTTTGAAACTTTTACGCCTCCTTTTTTAGCAAGTGCATTGATCAAAGTCGATTTACCCGCATTTTGAGCTCCAATCACCCATACATGTCCACGAGGTCCAGCCAAATCCTTAACAAAAGTTAACAAATTTCTAACACCTAAATCTTTTCTTGAACTAACCAAATAGACCCCGTTTAACCTCGGTGCACCTTGAGCCTTGGCACGGTGTCGAACCCATCGGTCTAATCTAGTTGGAGAAATTTGAGATGGTAAAAGATCGACCTTTGTTGCTACAAGCACCAGTTTAGGTAACTTTTTACTACTCTTGAAACCTTCTTGGCCTTGTAATGAGTCGAACAAAGATTTAGCAGCTCGTTTTGGGAACGAGCCATCGAAATCTACACAGTCGACTACCATGATGACAACTGTGGAATCGGCGTTTCCGGTGGGTTTCATCAATCGGGTGGAAATCAGTTTGTCAAAATCGAAATCCGGAATCAGATTCTCCACATTTTGATTCTTGACCTGTCCGTAGTTCCTTAAGGAATGGCATCTTGCACAAACGGTTACCTCTTCTTTTTCCACCTGAGCTTCACGAGCTATCTTTTTTCTTTCCGATTTTGACACCCGTTTCTTCTTCCCCTTTTCGAGTACTTCCTCTGTGATGTTCCCGTATCCCACTCCCGGAGCTGTAAACCCATTGAGCTCTTTACTCAAATCGTCCTCATCATCCTCGAAATCAGGTTCCCAATCCGAATCCCAATCGAGTTCATCTTCAATATCCAATTCATCATCCAAGTCGTCATCATTTTCACTCTCTAATTCCCCTTCCCCTTCCCCTTCATCACCTTCATCGTCGTGTAATTCACCTTCAATGTCATCGAACACATCTGTAACCTCGGCCTTCTTTTTCTGATAATACCCAGGTAAAGTTGGGTCGTTATCTTGCATAAAAACTCCACAACCAGGACAAACAAGCCCTAAACTATCGTCATCGTCTCTTCCCTCGCTTAAAAGCGGCAGTGGTTTTTTATGTTTTTTTCTCGAATTGGTTGTATGTGTTGTTGATAGATTGCCGTTTACTGATAAGGCAACGTATGAATCTTTGTTCTTGATGTTTTTTCTGTGTAGACCTATAAGGGGAATTGAAGAAATGAACAAGGATGGAATTGGGAATGGAAAAGGGTAAGGAGTAATGGAGTTTACCTGTAGACCAGAGAAGACGAATTGATGGGTTCACTTCAGAACTGAAGTGATTGTGTAGCTTCAGGATTAGGGTTGGAGTTCTCGACGAAAGTAGAGGTGAAGAAGATAACATAATTGACAATTTTTTTTTGCTTACCTACAGGGACGACGGGGGGGTTTTGTTGAACCCTGTGCTTTAGAAGGAACCAATTGCAACAGAAATTAACAAGTGATGAAAAATATCGAATCGGGGGTTAACGGTTTTAACATTTTATTAAAAACTAGAATAATGAAACATATTTTTATATCATCTACTATTTTTAGCATAGTTTTGTTAAATCACTTGTTTTTTCAAACTTCTATTAGCATAATTAATGAAACAATACACACACAAAAATATATATATACACAATAACTTTAAAGTCGAAATCCTTTTTATTAGCGGGTTAGCCATGAAGAGGGCTGCCAAGAATGTTGATTTGATGCGCCTTCTACCACAGTTACATGACTCTTAGAGTGAGCTCATTTTGCTTCGATCTTGCATTGGCATCGCCAAACTTTCCATTGTGATCTCTTCCCATTTCCACATGGGAATGTGTAGCGGTTGAACCTTAACATGAGGTCGTTGATGTTCGGCCTTGACCTTCCTGCAGGTCAAGCACCGCTCCACAAACCAGGCGATCTTCCGCTTCATGCAGAGCCACCAGTAGCTCATTCTCAGGTCTCTATACATTTTTGTAGCCCCAGGATGTATAGAGAACTTGAACTTGTGTGCCTTTTCTAATATATTATGTCTCACTCCTCCATATGCTGGTACCCACACTGAGTCAAAAGATCCCGACCATCCCAAACAAACAAGGGAATATGACCCCGAATCCGCTCTAACTTCTAATTTTCTCTCTTCAAACCTTCCACCTGAGCCTTCGTGATCATATCTAACAATGGAGAGATTACTATCATCTTCAAACAAACGTTCCCAATCGGGGAACTCGCCGTCTTGCGATTCAACGCATCGGTCACCACGTTGGCCTTCCCCGGATGGTATAAGATCTCACACTCATAATCTTTCAGTACATCCAACCACCTCCTATGTCGCATGTTGAGGTTCTGTTAATCCATCAAATACTTTAAACTTTTGTGGTCAGTAAAAATGGTACACCGAACTCCGTACAAATAGTGCCTCCATATTTTGAGAGCGAACACCACTTTCCCCAATTCTAGGTCGTGAGTGGGGTAATGTCACAACTAGCATTTTGGTTAGGAAATTCTATATATGTATGATTAACTCATGATGAATCTTAAAGCTATTCATGTTATTCAATTCAAAAGCAACTGTTCGAATCAAAGCTCACTCGAGAAGCCCAAAACTAATTCAATGCATTTCATACACTCGACTTTGGGTTGTAACCCTAATTTCCTGGTTCAAACTCTTATTGAACCAGGACCCTCTTATTGGGCCTAATGGGCTAATAAAATCTCAATTTGATTCTTTTGGGTAAAGAAACCTCATTTGGGCCCTAATTGGACCCACAATCACTAAGTAATTGATTTTTGGGCCACAAAACCCTTCATGGGCCTTAATGGGCCGTAAACAATTTTGGTGAGCCTCAATGGGCCGAAACCCATTTGTTTGTCATGTTGGGTCGTCAACACATATGTGGGCCCACATGGATCAAAACTCCTTAATGGGCTAAAGCTATAACAAGCCAAAGGTCCATATTCTTTCATTTTCCTTCTCATTCTCGATTTTATATATTAGTAAAAAAAATCAAAGTAATTTAAATGCTTGACACCTACTTATTATGTAGTGGTAATCTAGGTATTATGTCTCACATATATCTAAGCTAGGACACCCTAATCCTTCATGTATTAACCAACAAACCCTTCTCTTTATCTCCCTTCTTATTCATGACCGAGAATACATCACCACCACTCTCCATTCAAATTTTCTCACTTAGTTTTCCTAACCTCTCAAACACAAGAAGTGTAACGCCCCGTTCCTGGTACGTATTTATTTTAATTAAATGTTCTTTTGGGAAGAGCTACTCGGCGAGTTATATCCCTAACTCGTCGAGTAGATGTCGAGTGGATGCGGGCTTTAAGTGATCTACTCGGTGAGTCCACGCCTAGACTCGGCGAGTAGGCCAATCAGGAGGAGACCCTAATCCTTAGGGTTTGCACCCTATTTAAACGCCCTTTCAGCCCCATCTCAACCCCCCCCCCCATCACCCTCAGAGCAATCCTTATCGAAACCCTAGCCTCCATTGGTGAGTTTGAGTGATTTGTTGTCTTGTGAAGGGACTTTTGGTGCACTTTGGAGCAAGTGGAAGAAGGGAGAAGTTGAAGAGGTCAAGGAAGGGACTTAGATCCAGAACACATTCATTTGTGGTCATCCATTTGGGTAATAAAGTTTCCATCTTGGTTATTTATCTATTAGATCTTGTTTGTCCCTAAATTGTTGCTTTTAAGCCATAAAACCCTAAATCCTTGAAGAGAAACCTTATGGTTGGGTTATACTTCAGATCTGGACTCTCATTACCTTCTGTAAGTGGTAAGTTTCGGTCATAATGGTGATTAAGGTCCCTATTGAGCTTAGAACCCATTAAGAGCTTAGTTTGGGCATTTGAAGCCTCTAAAGCTATGCATGCACGTAAAGTTTGCAACTTTACGTGATAAGCATGCCCTAGAAGCCTGGATATGTGGTTTGGAGCCGCTGCATGGCTCAAATCAGGTCTATATGGAAAAAGGACTGAATGTACTCGGCGAGTAGAACGATGGACTTGGTGATTCCTATGAAGATAGTCGTGGACTCGACGAGTTGGATGAGCAACTTGGCGAGTCCGATGAAGATTGCCTTAGACTCGACGAGTTGTTCTTCAACTTGGCGAGTCAGATAAAATTGGACTTAGTATGTATGCATCGAGGAAGAACGCGTCGAGTCTTCGCTAAGCTCGACGAGTAGAAACTGGTGTAGAACTAGAACAGATGGAAGGGACTCGGCGAGTCCGGTCAACCAGGAAGTTGACTTTGACCAGGATGTTGACTTTGACCGGGGGTAAAATAATCATTTTACCCTAAAATTAGTTATCAGTATCTGACTTAGTGTTTATGGAAATTGTAGTCGGGGAGTTCCGGTTCAGCAGTCAGGCGCTCAGCAAGCAGACTTTCAGCCGCTACTTCGAGGTGAGTTACCTTCCAGTAGCGGGGGGTCTAAGGCCACAATGTCGGCCCACTAGTAGGAATTGTATGATTAGATGATTGTCTCTGTTATATTCATCTAGGGTTGCCACTACTTGTGTTATGTTTATGTGTTTGCACGATATAATGTTATGTGCTAGCGATAGTAGGGGAGATAGTGTTGGAATAGTGTTTAAGGCTGCAACTATATTAGGCAAGTATTTGACCCGATTGTGCATGGTCCTTTTGGGTTGCCTTCACCGTAGCAACTTGGTAGGATGATTTATTATGAGAGAATAGATATTATTAATATATTATGAGAATAATATAAGTAATAATAATATAGTTATTTGATTAATATAAGTCATAGATTAATTAGTATTAATTTGGTGACTTAAGGAGATTAATTAAATAAGAGGGTATAAACTGTCAATTGTTTGATAGTTAAACTTTAGACTGTAAATCCTTATTGGATAAAGGGTTGGACGATTTCTAGGCTAGGATAAGCCTAAATTCGTCCAAGGCATTATCTTTGGAAGGATTTGGATTGCTTTGAGTAATAGTTATCCAACTAGGGTTTGAGTTGAAACCCTTAAGGAGTCTACAAGTATAAATAGACCCTATGGCATAAGGAATTCGGTACCTCCTTTAAAGTAAGGATACCCTGGCCGAATTACTCCTCTCTCCTCTCTCTCAAATCATCTTCTTTGCTAGTTGGTGTTTGTAAGCCATTAAAGGAGTGACAATTGTGACTCTAAAGCTCCAAGAACAAGAAGATCAAACAAGTGTCTCAAGGTATGATCCTAACTCTGATTTTGTATTGTTCTTACACCTAATTAGCCATTAGAAGCCTTGGATTCAAAGCATGTTTAATAGAGAAACCTATATCCGAGCATTAGGGTTTGTATGCGCACTTAGGAATGTTCTTATGTACAAAACCCATCAGTGGTATCAGAGCCTTGATTGGTTTCTATTAAATTGACGCTTGAATGTTTGAATCTTAACTAAAAAATTCGATTTTTATGTTTCTGAGTCATGGACTCGGCGAGTCCCATAGTGGACTCGGCGAGTTGGCATGACTCGGCAAGTCCAGTGTGGGTACTCGGCGAGTCTGAGCGTCAGGATTAACCAAAAACGGGATTTTTTCATATTTATCTTATGGAAACTTACCTTAATCATATTAGATCAACCCTAATCCGATTTTATGATATATATGACTATATTTTTGATCTAATTGAAGATAATTATCAATTAATAAAATATTTAATTTCCTTATATGATAATTATTAATCAAATATGGATAATTATGTGATTAATTGTTTGTTATTTGATCCTTTATGTTTTAAATGTTTAAAACCTGTCCTCAAGTTTTGAAATTTATGTTTTGTGATTAAAAGTTTAATTTAGACAATTTAAATTTCAAACCCTAGAATTTTACAAGTTTAAAATACAACCCTATACTAATATAATATTACAAGATTAATATATATATATATATATATATATATATATATATATATATAACTTAAATGCTAGTCTTACCGTTAGTAGGCCTCATTCACGAAGCCGGTCTATAAGGTGGGTATAAGGTTGCGGCCTATAAAATGGCGCTTAATGGGTGTACACTCACACCCACCGCTCTGCTTGATTGGTGGAGGGTCGTTAGCCGAACGGGTAGGATAGGGCAACCTCATCCTCTCATTAAAAGTATAATAAGAAATACAAAGTAACTACATGTTTTCTTAAAATTTCCCAATCTTAGTTACTTTAGGAAAAGTGAATTGATGCAATCCCATGAAATTACACTTTGCACCTTGCTAAGAAGTTAGTGGAGCGTGTGTGGTTTACCGGCACACTAATTGGTTCTAAGCGAAGGTGGAAAAGGGTGATTCATTGTTTATCATAGTTCGATGGAGCGTGTGTGGTTTACCGGCACATCGAATAGGTGATCGTTACAATGAAGGCACCATGTTAATTTGCATGGTAATTCACACCCGCTTTGTGATCCTCGGTATCCCAGTCACAAACAAGAGGGGCATATCGAGATTTAAACATGCCATTGAAAAGTTTCAATGAATCTCATCCAAACCT